ATGTGAAAAACAACAGGCCAGAGATTTGCCAGCGTTAGTGACAATGCTTCAGAATATATTTCAAGTGATATTATTATATATTATTGTCATCAAATTTTGTGACTAGTTTCATAAGATGTCATCTAAACCAGATATGGTGTAAAAGGGGTCCTTATTTTAAGTCTCTTGTTTGTTGCTGTGCTATTATAATATACATTTTTAATTGTCATGACATGAGCAAATAAAGAAAACTTTATATTGTACTATGAATATAACAATATAAATAGAGTACCTAGAAGTACACTCACATTCTAAAAGGAGAGATAATTAGACACTAAGGTGCCCAGTCACTGCAGTCGAGTAACTCTGATATAAAGCATCACTGAGGTAAATGTCAAAAGGTCAGATATGTGTGTAAATTGCTTTGCCATGGCTCATATGGTCCTTTAAGTCTCCTACTTTACCATTATTAAATATTTGCTTAAATATCACAAATTACAAATGACATTGATTTGATTTTGAAGTCAAATATGTTTTTTTTACATGCAATTCTCAACTTTTTCACCACAAATATGGCTGTTTTTGCTGCTCAGCAGTAGTAGACAGCTCATAATTTGTCACACAGCGAGATGGATGGAGGAATTGGGGTTGGATTGCCATAGGAACCTGATATCCAGGCCAATATGTGTTACTGTAAATACTGTACCACACTTCTCTTCAACAAGTTTTCAGGACACACGTCCGCCAACGTTCCGCAGTACCAGGACCTCACAGAACGTAAATACGATGAATCGATGAATAACCACACATACGAAAAAATATAAGAGCTATATTTAATCGATGCATGTTGAGCTGCTTTTGCATAAGAATAAAACGCAGACCTACTATTTTGACTTGGCAGACAATAAAATGTAAAAAAAAAACAATCCTATTGCTTAATATTCTATATGTGAAGCATGTTTTGATTCATCGAAGTAAAGGGTTTTTTTGTTTTGTTTTGCACATAGAGATGACATGTTTGTTGGAGGACCCTGAGGATATTGTTTTTAAAATGTAATCATTCTGTTTTGTTTTGTTTTGTACATGGAGATAACATGTTTGTTTGTTGAAGAACCCTGAGGATATTGTTTTTAAAATATAGCTGCGTTATGTTTTGCTTTTGCAGATAGAGATGGCATGTTTGTTTGTGGGAGGACCCTGAGGATTTAAAAAAAAATGTTATCATACAGTTTTTTTTGTTTGTTTTTGCACAGATGATATGTTTGTTTGTTGGAGGATCCTGAGGAAATATAAATACATTGCAGTAATGGAAATCATCAGTATTAGTAGGAATAATAAGAATAAAAATAAAAAAAAACACATTGTATGATGGATCGCTCATGAGCTGCAGCTAAATATAACTACACATGTGAAACGGCCTGTAGAGCTACTTTAGCATTGGAATAAACCTCAGACTTTGATTTTGGAAAAATCCTTTCGATGTACAACACCCTAGCAATGTCATAGCAACAGCATAGTAAAACCCACTCTCACCACCCTAGCACCCTAACACTGTGGCAATGCCACTGACATTTTCTTCAGAAATATTAAAATTGTAGTTTTTACACAATAAACTGTGGATGCCTCATTCGTATATTATGCTCAATCACGGGGTAGGCCACACGTTTAGATTCTGGAGTCACACACCTTGATCCACACACAGTTTTGTAGGTGCAAGAGTATTTAGCGCAAGTGCTAGACTAACACATTTGTCTGTTCCCTTTCAACAGCTTTACAATGTGGCTCTTCCTGTGAGCCTGAAGCACAAGTGCTGGGCGGAGGATGATTGCAAGTGTGTCGCAGAGGAGTGTGACTGAAAAAAGCCTGTGAAAGTCAAACATTTATAAAAGTACTACTGCAACTACTAAGTTAATTGTCATCATTACTGGCCAACAAGTCATTTATCATACATATTTGGAATGAAATTAGGGTGAGTTAATAATGACAACATTTAATTTTGGTGTGAAATGTATCTTTGATTAAGTAAAGCTTGATATAAAATATGAGTATGCATATAGAAATCCGTCTAGTCATCGCTAAGCCCACCACCTCAGCAAAGCCTGAATGCATTATGATCCATAAGTGCCATAACTTACAGTAAGAGTGGGCTGATGCATGACAATGGGACATCAAGACTTGCTTTCCCATACTGCCACCTAGAGGACAATCGCCATGTGATATGTTTTGAACATCGTTTTTTGTTAGTTTTTTGTTTTGTTTTTTGCACATAAAGGTGACATGTTTGTTGGGGCTCGAACAAACCTGGGGAAACTGTTTTAAAAAATGTAATCTTACTATTATTTATTTATTAATTTTTTTTACGTTTATTCATTTAGCAGACGCTTTTATCAAAAGTGACTTAGAGAAGAGTTTAGAGTTTAATATTGTGTGTGTGTGTGTGTGTGTACACATATATAACACAAAAGCATTATTACAGTGAAATGTAATATAATGCAAATGTGAAAATGTACAAATTTTAAATAAATGCAATTCTATGTACCTATAAAGTTCTATGTAAATGTGGGATACAATATGATGTTGAATATGAAATGTGTCAGACCTCACAATAGTTTAATACTGCAGTTTTTTGCATTTCTTTTAACCCTTGAAAGTAAAAGAGAAAATTCATATTTTTAATTTCACATATTTTTGAACTTTAGAGTATCTCATATTAAACTCGAAGCTATTTTTAAATGAATGTAAACACTTAAAGCTGTTTTAAAATTAATTTATGCTTAATTCAGTCTGAAGAGTTATTCTGATCTGGCCCTAAAGTTTTGACCGTCCGTGTGTTTTGATGGTGGGTTGATGAGATAGTGTTACAGGCTGTAATCCCTCTCTGTAAGCCTTTGGGTCAGTGCAGGAGCTCGAACCCCCCAAGAGCACTACACTGCCAACAGCTGAACCAGCAGGGGCCAACCTGACTACTTCCCCTGAAATGAACACTTCACACACACACACACACACACACACACACACACACACACATGTACACCCCCACATACACTGTCTCCCACACACACACATACACAGTTACACACACGAGGATATGCCAGCTCTAACCTCAGAACACATACGAGCACACGCATTATCCTGTGAATGTGTGTGGTCTTAGGTCTAATGTTTTGTCATGGTAATAAATAATGATAATTACAAAGACCCCTGAAACAAGGATGTAGAACACACACAGGGTAATATATTATGAAGTACAGTACAAAAACATACTGTGTGATTAAAAACACTACTGGTAGGAGTTGATAGGAACTGTAAGCAGTTGCTGTCCTGTTTTGTCTACCCATAATGTTTATGCCCAATATTACAGTTTCGCTTTCTCAGATCAGAGTTGAAATTCTGAAAACTTAAAATACTTGTTCAACCTCCACATCATCTAGTCATTTGCGCACATCATTAAAGCAATTTCTCATTCTTTGAACAAATTGCCAATGCTTTAATTCGTTCATGCAATTGATTATGTACAGTTTCTTATACATTATCAATTGCCAGTTTTCTAAAATAGCTCAGAGGTGCATCTCATGAAGCTTCAGTTAGCAAGCATATATAGGCAGAGGACAACTTAGTATAATTTCTTATAATGGAAGAACAACAAGACAAACACTGTCAACAGCCAGGAAGAAGAAGAGGAGTGAGGATGTGTGGTGGAAGGGTAGGGAGGCAAAACAGAGGAAGAGGTAGAAGAGGCAAAGGACATAGGCATGTTTCTGATGAAATAAGGGCCACTAATGTGCACCATGTTGTCAGTCATGACCTTACGTGTGCAACTGAATATTGGGCATTCAAGCATTTCATATACAGAACAGGTACACATTTTACAGTATAGAGTAAATATACATTATACCAGAGGTGTAAAGAATTTGAGTAAATGTAATTAATGACTGTACTTGAGTATCTTTTGGATACTCTGTAGTTTTACTGAGTATCAAAGATATTAGAAACTTTTACTCTCTACTTCACTACATTTTTGAATAAGCATCTGCATTCTTTACTCCAGTACATTTGTAAGGAGTGTTGCAATTACACATTACATTTTGCATGGCACATAGCTTTTTCTGCAGCAGTTTATTTCTGCTACAAAAGAAGTAATATCGCTAACTACAGGGCACTGAAAGTACTATATCTTGTGTGATTTGCCCTTACCCAATATTGTCAACAAGGCCATTACATTGTCCATTAAATACCTATATTTAGTAGAAGTAAAATAGTTAAGTACTGTTAAAATCAGATTCTCTAAGACTTTTATTCAAGTTGTTTTGGAATTGGTGACTTGTAAATTGAGGTGGAGTAATTTTCACTGTAAGGGATCTGTACTTTTATTCAAGGATGGTTTTCAGGTACTCTTTACACATCTGCTTTATACAGATATTATTTTATGTAGTGCATTGACATTGTACTGTAATTTGTTGTCAGACCACCTATAAAATCTTAGGCCTACATGTGAATCCTGTCAGGTTTCTTGAGATCATTATCCCATATATTGCAATACAGTATGTGCTGCTGAAATTGATAGCCATACGGGAAAAAAATCAGCCTTACAGAAAGAAAAGTGCACCATTGTACTGTAATTTGTTGTCAGACCACCTATAAAATCTTAGGCCTACATGTGAATCCTGTCAGGTTTCTTGAGATCATTATCCCATATATTGCAATACAGTATGTGCTGGATAGCCAGATAGCCATACGGGAAAAAAATCAGCCTTACAGAAAGAAAAGTGCACTGTTTTAGATAGATAGATAGATAGATAGATAGATAGATAGATAGATAGATAGATAGATAGATAGATAGATAGATAGATAGACATCCACACATCGTCTGTGGCTTCACTTCTCACTTTTGTGGTCACTGTACGTAAAAAAATGAAAAGGTTTCGTGTTAGAGAGCACTTTGAATTGGCACCATCCATGTCGGCATGCGTAATAAAGCTAACAGCAATATTACGGCAGCAGGACTCGACCTGATACTCCACCGTCCGCTCACACAGCTGACTGCCTGACTGACTGACGGGACGCCAGCACACCGACACACACCCGGAAAACACCCGCCGTTCAGTATGGAGCGAAAAGTGGCGAAGGAATTTCGGCATAAGGTGGGCTTTGAAACGGCTACTGTCTAATTAAAAATATGCGATGATTGTTTTGTTAGCATTATTGGTTATTATTGTTCTAGTTCCTTTGCTCTCGCTGCTCAGGAATGGCGAAGGAGCACGCACTCTTAATTTTTACGCAATAAAATATTACTAAAGTAAGTAAATATTCGCCCAGCTTACGACACGAAAAGTACTTCTGTATCCATAGAAACGTCGTTATTTGATCGGTTAACTTTGTTTTGCACTGAAAGGGTGGCATCATTTGCCAGTTTTAGACGTTTTTATCATTACAGTTAACATGTTACTAGTATAGTTGAATGATTTCGACGTAATGCCGTATTTAGCCTAATTTTATTGATTTACTTAAGTCAAAGGTTCACATAAAGGCGTAATTTACCTAGAAAGGTATGCTATGTGTGGCGTCACATAATGTACGCGTTCTGATTGGCTGAGGAGGTGACGGTGTACTATGTGTGCTGGAAATAGATGTACAACAGGTATTAATTACTTTTTATCTCCTAAACGTGAAGTTAACACTTCGTTGTAGTTGCATTACAATTTTAATTTACACTGAATTATTTCATTCTGATACCTATTTATATGCTCGTGCTTATTTTTAAGACACCATATGACTGACCCCTATGTGTAATTGTAGAATCGTACCATCTGTTGTGTGGTGCATGGAGTTACACAATGGACAGCTTTTTTCACAGCATTAGCTGAAGTGACAGAGATGTGTGGCCAGGCGACAATGATTGCTGCGTTTATTGTTCAGCGGGTCTTATTGCCTGTAGATGGGGGTGGGAAAGCTGTGCCACACTACAAATTAGAAAGCTTTGCATTTCATTTTGGTTTCTCCTCTATGACATGAAACGCATTGTGCTGTTGACCTTTCTGTTCATTAGTCTCTTTCAAATCACTTAGCATAAACTGAAGAGGATATGAAGCTGATTTTAGTTATAGATACCTGCTTTCAGCATCGTTTTATAAAGGTGGACTGTCATCTGGGCTTATTAAAATGTTTATGACACCTTAAATAGCCTTTGAGTGCACAGTCACTGTTTTATTATATGTGGCTTGACATTGGTATTGATATGGAACAAATTGGACATGCTTTTTATTTCCCCACTGTGTTCATATAGTTCACAGACATATTCATTTATTATGAATATTTATTGTTTTAATAATTAAAATGTTCATTTAATAGGTAATTATTGGTAACACAAAATTAAAATACAAAAATAAAAACATTGCCGTTTTTATTTGCAATTACATTTAACTTCTTGTATTTGAATAATTAAATGTTGTTCTTGTTATTTAATTGTAAAATATATTAAACCATTCATCCAAACATGCACATATTTCTTTCTTTCTTTCTTTCTTTCTTTCTTTCTTTCTTTCTTTCTTTCTTTCTTTCTTTCTTTCTTTCTTTCATAATGCCCATTTTATTTATTTGTTTGTTTTTTAAGCCATTTTATATGTTTGTTTTGTTCATCCATTCGTTTTTGTTTGTTCATTCAGTCCATTACATTTATTTATTTATTTATTTATTTGTTTGTTTGTTTTTAAGCCATTTTATATGTTTGTTTTGTTCATCCATTCGTTTTTGTTTGTTCATTCAGTCCATTACATTTATTTATTTATTTATTTATTTGTTTGTTTGTTTTTAAGCCATTTTATATGTTTGTTTTGTTCATCCATTTGTTTTTGTTTGTTCATTCAGTCCATTACATTTATTTATTTATTTAGTTATTTGTTTGTTTGTTTGTTTTTAAGCCATTTTATATGTTTGTTTTGTTCATCCATTTGTTTTTGTTTGTTCATTCAGTCCATTTTATTTATTTATTTATTTATTTATTTATTTAATTAATTGTTTGTTTGTTTGTTTTTAAGCCATTTTATATGTTTGTTTTGTTCATCCATTTGTTTTTGTTTGTTCATTCAGTCCATTACATTTATTTATTTATTTAGTTATTTGTTTGTTTGTTTGTTTTTAAGCCATTTTATATGTTTGTTTTGTTCATCCATTTGTTTTTGTTTGTTCATTCAGTCCATTACATTTATTTATTTGTTTGTTTGTTTGTTTGTCCGGACACTTTATTTATTTATTTGTTTGTTTTGTTGGTTCATTTGCTTGTTCGTTCATTCAGTCCATTCAGGTTCTTTGTCCAGACATGTATTTGTTTGTTTTGCTCATTTGTTTGTTCATTCACTTTATTTATTTATTTGAAATTAATAAGTTTGGCTTTTCTGTCGAGCATGTTAACCTCACATCACATTAGCATTCTTTTGATAATAATGCACCAACACTCTTATGTAAGATGACACTGCTAGCATGATAAATGTCTTTATATGAGCTCAGGAACAGTTCAGTGGAGCAGATCTGAACTAATGATACTCACAATACAGGAAAAGATCCACCTGACCTATTCAACTAAAAAACAACAGCAGACCCAGCCAATCTGAGAGACGATTGACTAACAGACACACAACAGTTCCTCCACCTCCTTTCTCTGTCCCGACCTCTCCTCCTCACTCCACCTTTTCCTGACCTTCCGTTTTAGTCTCTCACTCAGTGAGAGAGAGAGAGATGTGTTACATCATTGACTGGCCAAAACGCTTCCTCAAAACATTTCTACAGCAGATTAGCCACCACCAGGTAAAAGATGGGCAAATGATTGCTTTTCTGATTATCAGAGTTGATCTGACCAGAGGTTTGTGTGTTTGTGCTGTGCAGGTGGAGCTGCTAATTGATAATGAAGCGGAGAAGGACTATCTCTATGATGTTCTCCGCATGTACCACCAGTAAGTACACTCTAAAATATTTATTAATAATAATAATAATAATAACCTTAGAACACATAGTCACAGTTTTATAACATGTGGCCTGACATTGGTGTTGATTTGGAGCAATTTGAATATGCTTTTTTACTTCCCCACAATATTCAAATAGTTTACTGACTTATTCATTTATTATGAATAATATTTTAGATTTGTAATAATTAAAATATTAATGTAATAGGTCATTATTATTAATACATTTTTAAATCTAAATTAAATTAAAAAAAGTTAAATTAAATTATTATTATTAATAATAATAATATGATTATTATTATTGTTTGCTGTTATTCAAAATATACAATATAAAAAGAAGAATAAAAATAATAATTATTATTGTTAATAAAATATACACTATAATATAATTATTATTGTTATTGTTAGTAATAATAATAATAATTATTATTATATTGTATATTGTATATTTTTAATAATAATAATAATAATAATAATAATAATAATAATAATAATAATACTGTTGTTTTGAACTGCATATGCCCCAAAAAATGCAAAATGATGAGCAATTTGTATTACTATTACTCAGATTTAGGGTTAGCAATTTGAACAAACTACTTAGCAACCACCAGAACAACCTAGCAACCACTTAGAAAACCATAGCAACAGGAAAATGTAAAGAGAAAATGTAAAATTTTTAAAACTGTTTTATTGCAGTTGACAGATATTACATACGTCTTCATTAAAGTGAATATTTTAAAATGTGATAAGAATATAAATGGAATACAAATATCTCAGCAGCAGTGGTGCATACTGGAAAGTTTTAGAGGCTGATAAATAATGTAATTTTCCATCAGTAGTTCTGGTAATCTGTTGATCAAATGAAAACTGCATGGCACATTCAGAAGAAGACAAGTATTCAGTGTCTGTTTATCTGAGTGTAACAAGTAGGAAATGCTGAATGCATTCCCTCAGTTCTTTATTTGTGATCTTGTGTGTAAATCAACACGTCGTTTCTCAGCTGGACTGGAATGAGAGGCTTAATCCAATTGAAAAGTAACTTGGATCAGATCATTTCCACTTTCCTCCCTTCATTCAAGGGCAGCCATTCTCTTGTGTCCCTTTTGTCTCTGATATATGAGTCAGGAGTGAAATATCAATGATTCATAGAGCAGCTGCCTCGAAATTCATAAGCTGACTTTATGTGGGTATAAAGTGTCATTTTCCACAACAAGCAACAAATCAGACTGTTTTTGAAATAATTATTATAAGCTAATATCAAAATCACAGCAAATACTTTCATATAGGTTACAAATGCCATTGATGACCAAATTAGTTTTGCTCTTTATTTATTTATTTATTTTTTTGAAATATGTATATTACCTCTTTGAATTGACAAATATTACATTTTCCAGCTTTCTATGCTTTTTTATAAAAGGAAAAGCCTAATTTTTCTTGAAGCATGTAAAATCCTTGAAAATAATAATAATAATTTCGGCTATAAATATCAGCCAAAATTTCTGACAGTGCATCGCTAATTTTCATTACCATAGTATACTGTAAAAACACTCAGTATAAGATTTAAATCAGTATTTTTTACATTTATATCATGATGTATTAACTTTCATGATACTGTAATGTGAATGAGGCTGTATTTTGCATTACAGTATTGAGAACTGGTGGTAAAATGTTGTATTATTTTATAAAATGTCAAAATATAAAATGTTTTATACATTTTTATAAAATGTAAAATTCTTTTATTTTTAATCTTAGAAACCTGTCTGGCAACAGTCATTGTTTTTGCAATTCTGTTTGGTGGTGCAGAATTTAGACACTTATTCTATCCTAACTTTATTCTATGAACAATTGCTTTATGCTTTATATTCATGACCTTTCATTTAACTTGATGGAGAATATTAAATAATGATTTATTAACAGAGATTCGGTATCAAGACAGTATGTTGAATCAGTTGTAGTCTAAGAAAAGTTCTTTTAATCCACAAACTTGTTTGTGCTGGTCTAATGTAGCCCTCCTGTTTGCATGTGCTCAATCAGGTCCTGTTTAAATCACTCTGCTCTGCCCTTTATAGATCCATGGACATTCCTGTCCTGGTCGGCGACCTGAAGCTGGTGATAAATGAGCCCAAACGCCTTCCGCTGTTTGATGCCATCAGACCTCTGATTCCTCTGAAGCACCAGGTGCAGTACGACCAGCTCACGCCCAAGAGATCCAGGTGAGAGAGGAAACCAGGAACACAGACAATAATGAGGTGTTAAACAGGGGTTAATAGGGTGCGATCCTTCTGAGAATCATGGAAATGTTTTTGTGCATGAATAGCAGAGGAATAAAGACAGAGAGAAAGAGGACATTGGAAATGAGAGGATGAGGTAGAATGACAGGCAACGCTCTCATCACCAAACAGAATCATTGTTTCCTCTCATGCTCAGTCAGACGTGGCAAAGGAACAGCGTTATGAGCACAGAGAGAGGAGCGCTATTCAACTGTGTCTGATTCACAGCGCTAATAGGGCCACAATGAACTGGATTCGGTTTCCTCTCTTTGTATCTTTTGTCTTTCTCAGAGAAAAGAGGAAAGAAGGATAAAAATATGATATATTTTATTATATATATCTGGGTTATTATAGTTAACTAAAAATAAAACTGAAACCGTTAAAAAATATTTTCATTACTTAAAATAAATTAAAAGTTAACAGAAATGAAGTAAAATATGAAAAACTTAAACTTATTTTATGTTAGCTAGTTGACAAGGCAATTTCTCATTTTCATATATATATATATATATATATATATATATATATATATATTATTAGAATTGGTGGAACATGATACATTTCACTAAATATATTCACTATACTATAGATATGTTAAATGTGGTCAACTGATTGTAGATGCCACTATTTTGAGCAGGAAGTTGAAGGAAGTCCGTCTGGACCGCACACATCCTGAAGGTCTGGGTTTGAGTGTTCGGGGGGGACTGGAGTTCGGCTGTGGCCTCTTCATATCACAGATAGTCAAAGATGGACAGGCAGGAAATGTGGGCCTACAGGTAACACAATCAAGAAGAGGTTGTCCTAGCTTACATATAGCACACATTGCTTTCACCGTTTCAGCAAATAATGTCCTGTGTAGCAAATGATGCAGGTCACGTTTGTAAAAGCTAAAGTACACACTCTCTTGCCTTATATTAAATATCTGACTACAGAAAATGTTAAACATTCAATTTGAAATGAGTATTTAACATGGGCTGCACAAAAAAAGTAATCAGTGTATATTCTTTCCACTAGGGGGCGCAATAAGCCTTCTTAAATTCTTCATGTTCTCTGATCCAAATACACTGTTCTCGTCCTCTTCTGTAACCTCTATGATTAATGTTTGTCCTGCAGATAAAGTCAAATAATTCGAATGCAGCCCTTGTGTTTCTAGTGCAAACTCTGCTAATTTTGTGAGGACAGAAACTTTGAAATATGAAAATATTCTGGTGTAATTAAAGTATTTTTAGTACTACATTTGTATACACATTTTAGATAACATAATTTATATGAATGAGGTTTGCTGTGTTTTCTTCAGGTTGGCGATGAGATTGTGCGTATTAATGGCTACTCCATCTCCTCCTGCGTTCATGAGGAGGTCATCAACCTCATCAAGACCAAGAAGACTGTGTCTCTGAAAGTCCGCCGTAAGGTTTTATATGAGCAATATCACCCGAGAACGAGAGTGATATTGCGTTTATACAACAGTTCGACAGAACATGTGTGTGATTAAACAAGAAACAACGGAGTGCCTAATAAAACCCTCTTTTGAGCGGAACTACTTCCTTCCGCCACGGATTCAAAGCTCAAGTTGACAGTTAACCTATACGTCACTTTTAGAATTCGTATCAAGGGTATGTGCAGCTTCAGTTAGGTTATTAGTGAGAAATAATGAGGTTATAAGAGAGAAACAATGTGGCAAGACATGCATCCAAATGAGAGAGAGAGAGAGAGAGAGACAGCGAAGCTAGACGTTTCTTCTTATATTAAAGGGGTCATATGATGCTATTTTAAAGATCATTATTTGGTGTATTTGGTGTAACAGAATATGTTGACATGCTTTAATGTTCAAAAAACACATTATTTTTCAAATACTGCACATTATTGTAGGTCCTCTATGCCCCGCCTCTCTCAAACGCTTCGTTTTCTACAAAGCCCCCTCCTTTGACGAGCGCAGTCTGCTCTGATTGGCCAGCTGACCCAGTGCATTGTGATTGGCCGAACACCAGAAGCACGCATCGGAAATGTAACACCCCTTACCATATTCGCAGCTTCAGCTTTCAAAGTAAATATCAAGACTGTTAATAATGTCGTTAGTTTTACCATCAGTTCAAGCCCGAAAGGGCAACAGAATTGGTTAAGACAGCTGATGTGCTATGATTTCTGACAGGCAGTTCACATGTGATGTGACCCTGTTCCCCTCACACATACACACACACACACACACACACTACTTCCGGAAGGCCAAATAAAGTGCTTTTGCTTTTTGCTTTCACACTGAAACACACAGCATCTCCCTGACATGGCTGCATCAACACGACTGCTGTTCCTGAAACCACACTGTGACGGGCGGGGGCGGGGCCGAGAGCCGTGGGAACGGAGCGAGGCCGGTGGAGTAATTGATAATGAGCGACACCTGCACCACTCACCAGTCTCGAGTCTCACGGAGGAGCTCCGGAAGGATAAAAGGGAGGAGTGAAGACCGTGTTGAATGAGAGAGGACCAATTACAGTTTCAGTGCAGCTTCAAAGGGCTCTACACGATGCCAGACGAGGAATAAGGGTCTTATCTAGCGAAACGATTGGTCATTTTCTAAAAAAAAAAAATTCAAGTATATGCTTTATAAACAAAAAATGCACGCCTTGCACTGCTCTGCGATGCGCGTCCATGACTTCACGTAATACGTAATTACGTTGAAAAGGTCACGCTTGACATAGGCGGAAGTTAGGTTTCAAAAGATGAAATGAAAAGATGATTATGAAAGATCTTTATGAAAAGATTAATATTTTAAATGATAAACTGACACAAAGACATTTGAATAAGTGTCATTGAACATACAACAACTTTTGAACGGTCCTCCTCCACATTTGTAAACACTGACTGAGTTGGTACTTCCGCCTACGTCAAGCGTGACCTTTTCAATGTAATTACGTATTACGTGAAGTCATGGACGCGCATCGCAGAGCAGTGCAAGGCGTGCATTTTTGTTTATAAAGCATAAACTTTATTTTATTTTTTTAGAAAATGACCGATCGTTTCGCTAGAAATTACCCTTATTCCTCGTCTGGCATCGTGTAGAGCCCTTTGAAGCTGCACTGAAACTGTAATTTTGACCTTTAATCATTTGGTAGCCGTTGAAGTCCACTATAAGGAGAATAATCCTGGAATGTTTTCATCAAAAACCTTAATTTCTTTTCGAACTGAAGAAAGAAAGACGTAAACATCTTGGATGACATGGGGGTGAGTAAATTATTAGGAAATTTTAATTTGAAAGTGAACTAATCCTTTAAACTTGTACGTGAACAGCAACCTATTAACTTTTTGAACCAAAAATTTTTTTATATTTATAAATGTGTCAGAAAATCTTTTTTGGAGATGTAAAATGCGAGAGAAAAGCAAAACGGTTTAAGAGGAAGGAGCCACTCGTATGAAAGTTCGCTCTGGGTATTAGTGTGTTTATCAGTGTGTGCATTAATGTGCAGGAGTGAGATTAGGGGGGTGGGTAGCGAGCATGCCAACGGGAGACCACAGGTGTGTGTTTGTGCTTCACCCCGCTGAATTCTGGGTAATAACAGGCATTGGTGCACCTGCGTCCTGTGTCGCCCCCTCTCTCTCACCTCTAATGGCCCCTAATCACGGTGCCATCAGGCCCTAATACCCCAGCAGCAGTGCCCTGGCAGCTGCCCCCTCTCCCCTGGCAGAGAGCTGTCAATCTCAGTTCATCTGTTCTCTGTCCATCACCCTCCATTCTGTGTCTAACCGCTCAGTTCCCATCTAAGACACACAACATCAAAAGTCCATAAATCTCCAGAGCCGAACCGAGACTAGATGTGTATTTGATGTCATGCAATCCCGTAGTGTTGCAAACCATTGCTTTCCAGGATGTTTTTTGTCACTTAATCAGGAAATACAAGTCCCTGGCACAATTTAAAAAGCATTAACGAGGGCTGATACAACAAACAGAATCAAACTATTTGTCAAAAAGGCCACACACAGACCTGCTCGCACACATTGATGTAAACACAAAGCAACACAGGGAAACCACATACAGACGCGACCTCACAGCTCTCCGTCACATGGAGTGCAACATCTAAACCTTTCCCACAGAAACAATGATGCCTTTTATTGTGTCCGCTTAAAGCCCTTGGCCACATGGGCCCCTTGAGTTGGTTTGATAATTACAAACAGACAGCACAGTGTTAGAAAGTTTAGATGGTGCTTTGGTGGGCCAATATTTATTCAGGGGTGTGTACTTTGCTCATGCCCAAGAGATGCCCACTCACCCAGAGGCCCTGACTTGATTATCATATTCACCTGTCAAATTGAAGAAGTTGCTGTGATACTTCCAAAGTGTTCATATCAGCATACCATAGATGAGATTTTGTAAAAAAAAAAAAAGTAAAAATATTTTTTAATTGTTAAAGCCATTTCAATTAAATTAAATTCATTTCACGTTTATTTGTATAGCGATATTCGCTATACAAATCATTGCAAAGCAGCTTCACAGAAAATGAAAGTTTCAACATTACATAGGAGTAGCTAGTCAGTGGTGACTATGTCAGTGTAATGTTCATATGGCAGATATGTATAGAAATAAAATCATGCAGTTAGTTAATGACATGTATTCAAACAAATGGTGAACATTATTAACAGCAATGATTATATGTTGTGATTAAACTTATAGGAAAATTTGGTAGTTTTGCATGTTGGTTCATGGTTGTCGTCATCTAATGTCCTCGGAGGGGTTGGCATTTGCTCTTCTCAGGTGTTTGGTCATCTCAGATCTTCGTAATGGCTCGATCCAGACTGAAGCTTGTGTAATTCCTTTAGTTACCTTGGGATTCCCATCACGTGGCAGAAACAGAGAAGCAAATAAACAAAAATTAGCATAGATGCTGTTCAAACCAAGTAAAGAATGATAATGTGCATTTGATCAGATATAACTAGAGAACACGTTTATGAGATACATTATGTGAATGCTTGGCTAAAGAGATGTGTATTTAATTTAGATTTAAACTGAGAGAGTGTGTCTGAACCCTGAACGTTATCAGGAAAGCTATTCCAGAGTTTGCGAGCTGAATGCGAAAATGCTCTACCTCCTTTAGTGTACTTTGCTTTCCTAGATACTACCAAATGTCCAGAGTTTTGCGACCTTAGGGAGCGTGATGAATTGTAGCATGATAGAAGACTGGTTAGGTACGCAGGAGCTAAACCATTAAAAGGGGTCATGGGGTCATATGATGCTATTTTAAAGATCATTATTTGGTGTATTTGGTGTAACAGAATATGTTGACATGCTCAAAAAACACGCTTCGTTTTCTACAAAGCCCCCTGAGCGCAGTCTGCTCTGATTGGCCAGCTGACCCAGTGCATTGTGATTGGCCGAACACCAGAAGCACGCATCGGAAATGTAACACCCCTTACCATATTCGCAGCTTCAGCTTTCAAAGTAAATATCAAGACTGTTAATAATGTCGTTAGTTTTACCATCAGTTCAAGCCCGAAAGGGCAACAGAATTGGTTAAGACAGCTGATGTGCTATGATTTCTGACAGGCAGTTCACATGTGATGTGACCCTGTTCCCCTCACACATACACACACACACACACACACACTACTTCCGGAAGGCCAAATAAAGTGCTTTTGCTTTTTGCTTTCACACTGAAACACACAGCATCTCCCTGACATGGCTGCATCAACACGACTGCTGTTCCTGAAACCACACTGTGACGAGTGGAGGCGGGGGCGGGGCCGAGAGCCGTGGGAACGGAGCGAGGCCGGTGGAGTGATTGATAATGAGCGACACCTGCACCACTCACCAGTCTCGAGTCTCACGGAGGAGCTCCGGAAGGATAAAAGGGAGGAGTGAAGACCGTGTTGAATGAGAGAGGACCAGGCCTGGAGTTTATTTTGTGTTTTGTGTGCGGCAGTCATCAGTGGGCAGTGGTGCCGCTTTTCTTTCGTTTTGTGTTTGTTTTATTATTAAATTGTTTAAATGTCTGCCGGTTTCCGCCTCCTTTTTCCCGAACTACGAACTTTGTTACACACACCTTCTTTCTTTGCGTGCACATTTTGGCGACATTATTCTAATATTTCCACATAGTGATATAGA